ATAAAATTTCAACAGGGTTCTTTGTATAATTTAATAAGATTATTCTAAAATTATGTGTTAAGGGAGGTAGTCCATCATTGGCTCTGAGCACCCCTGCAATTCTTGTTGAATGTACAAAAGCCTTAATCATCTCCTGATACTGTGCATTTTCTATAGCGAGTCAGATAGTCAATTAAGGCAGGTCAAGGAAACCACAGCATGACCACCAGGCAACTGCTCTCTCTGGGAAAGGGTACTGGTTTGTTTGCTATTTGTTACAATGTTTTGTTGCTTACTCAAAAGTGCTGAGCCCTTGGCTCTGAATTTTCCTCAGCTGAAATACAACTTATTGCCTTCACAGCACACATTTAGGCCCGCTGCATAGTCCATGGGACTTAGGGTAGGGAAATCTGAACAACTACATCAATGCCATGTTGTTTGCTATGCCATAATCATCTGTCTTACTCTAACTCATTAAGTCTTGTTGTCTACCTTTTGTACCTATAAAGTAGTAGCAGGTTTACTGCTTATAAAGCCCTATGGCTAAGTTTTTTCCCTGACAATAGGGAAGACCAAAACACTAGAATAGTCAAGATACTCTTGAAGAACAATAAGATTACCCTACTACAAAATGAGTTATTACAAAACTACAGTAACTGAAACAATATGGTATTGCTGCAGGAGTAGACCAAGAGACCTAAACATACATGGGATTTTGATATATATATTGGGTAGGTTCCAGTCAGGAAAATGGAAACCATGCTAACTCTGATGGAGAGATTTTAGTATTAGGAATGTTTAAACAGGTGCTAGACGACTAATAAAGCAAAGAGGGAATAAATTAACATAAATATAAAGACAAATTCATAATTGTAGTTAGAGATTTTATCACTTCTCTAATTGATAGAACAAGTAGGCAGGAAATGAGTACGTATATGGAATACCTGAACAGCATTATTAAAAACTTGCCCTAATTGACATTTTAAACACTTCATTCAGCAATACCAGAATTCACATTCTTCTCTGGGCACATTCAAATGGACCAAGATAAACCATACTATTGGCCATAAAACAAATCTTAAAAAAAACAAAAACAAAAACAAAAACAAAAAAACTATGAAGCATATGCACAGACTGAAATAGAATTAAACTAAAAATCAGTAACAGAAAGGTATTTGGAAATTAAACAACTTCCCTCATAGGTCAGTAAAAAAATCTCTAAGGAAATGAAAAAATGTGTTTGAGCTGAAAATCTAACATGGAAAACAATGTTACAAATCTTGATTATATAAAATATAACCAAGAAAAATTGGTGATTGGTGGAAGAAATTTTTGCTAAGGTCAATCAACAGGCTAAAGTTGATTGACTAAAGTTGACTGATCTCTTAAAGCATTTCATATTCTTTATTTTACATAGATCATAAAGGTTACTGACAGATTTTCTGTGAAACCACCTTAATGTGAAGTACTGAATCCTTGTTTTACACTTTAAAAATTAAATGTAAATATATTTTAAAGTAACATATGTAACTTGATCATATTTTTCTAAAATTTTATTTGCTTTGAATCTACCCACTCTTCTATTGAAGCAGTCCATCTAAGCAATTAAAAGCCTGGGCTATGGAGTCAGACTGTCTGATTTCAAATTTTGGCTCCTGTTCTGTTCATATACTGTGTAACCAAAGACATTTTATTTACCTTTTTAAATCTCAGCTTCCTCATCTATATAATGGAGATGATTTAAAGAAAAAAAAAAAAAAGCACTTCGGAAAGTGCTTTCTAAGCACTCAGTAGGTGTTAGCTATTATGATAGTCCATGGAGGCCGGGCGCGGTGGCTCAAGCCTGTAATCCCAGCACTGTGGGAGGCCGAGGCGGGTGGATCACGAGGTCGAGAGATCGAGACCATCCTGGTCAACATGGTGAAACCCCGTCTCTACTAAAAATACAAAAATTAGCTGGGCATGGTGGTGCATGCCTGTAATCCCAGCTACTCAGGAGGCTGAAGCAGAATTATTGCTAGAACCTGGGAGGCAGAGACTGCAATGAGCCAAGATAGCACCACTGCACTGCATTCCAGCCTGGGCGACAAAGTAAGACTCTGTCTCCAAAAACAGAAAAAGAAAAGAAAAAAAGGTTTAGCACAAACAAACTTATTACTTATTATCTGCAAACTATAAAGAGGGGGTACTTGGGTACCACTGAAGTACACTGGATTTTTTAAAGAAAACATACTTATTACTGATACCTAATAAAATGTGCTAAAACTCAAACCTCATAGGCTTAATAGCCACAGTCACTGTCAAGCCAGTCTACAATGAGTTTACAGTCTTCAAGTTTATTGATAAACCATGTTTTCTCTTTTTTTGAGATAGTCTTGCTCTGTCACCCAGGCTGGAGTGCAACCTCCACCTCCTGGGTTCAAGATGGACTCTCATGTGCCTCAGCCTCCCGAGTAGCTGGAATTACAAGCAGGCACCACGACACCTGGCTAATTTTTTCTATTTTTACTAGAAATGGGGTTTCGTCATGTTGTCTAGGCTGGTCTCAAACACCTGAGCTCTTCAGGCAATCCACCCGACTCAGCCTTCCGAAGTGCTACGATTATAGGCATGAGCCAGTGCACCCGACCTGTGTTTTCTTTTCTTTGAATTTCGTACTATTAAATTAAAAGTCTACAGGCCAGGCGCAGTGGCTTATGCCTGTAATCCTAGCACTTTGGGAGGCCGAGGTGGGTGGATCATCTGAGGTCAGGAGTTCAAGACCAGCCTGGCCATCATGGTAAAACCCCATCTTAAAAAAAAAAAAAAAGTCTACAAAAATGCTCACATTATTCTCATTTAAAATGATTCTCAGCCATCTTGCTGCAATAGGTGTAGAAAACCAATCTTGGAACTCCACCAATATTAGGCAAATAACTTTACTGAGTTTCCATTTCTCATCTTTAAAATTCGAATGATGTCTATAAATCTAAATATTTTAGAGCTGTATTTACAAATATTTGCTAATGGCTGCCCCGTCATCAGTCATCAGGTATGAATAAATTTATTCTATCTAACTGGAGATGGATTAAATAAAAAGAAAAAATAATTATTCTATGATATTTACTGCAGGTCTATCATTTGCCTGGCATCAAGATGGTACCTTTTGAGCATTGAAAAATAAACCTAATTTCATTATATCTGTTATTTTTATCAATAAGTAGTTAGGCTTAGATCTATATCAAAAATCTGTTACCAGTTCAGTACCTAAAATATTAATGTGGGGTCAATAAACATTTGTTAAATGAATATATACCCCCCCGAAAAAAAACTTGTATTCAAATTAAAATTGAAAACAATTATGGTCTGCTTTTAAGAAACTTTTTATTTTCTTTTTTGGGTATTGTTTATTTTTTGTTTTGGGAGGGGATGTTTTTTTTTTTTTTTTTTTTTTTTTTTTT